TTTCTTTCTTCCTTTTCTTTCTTCTTTCTTTCTTTTTTGGCCATAGAAAACTAACCCTAATTAAAAGGATTTGGCTGTCCTTTCGGTGTATTACTGGGGATGTAGTTTTTTACATACTGAACTGCTAATCACGAGTGAGCAATTGGAACTCACAAGTTCCTCCTCAGGAGAAGGATGACACTCTCTCTTCTCCTAAAGAGCTACAGCCTCAGAAACCTGGTCTAAGGTACATTATGAGTCGGAATCCACTTGATGGTAGTGGGTTTTGTTTGATCTGGTTTTAGTATATTAAAACTGCTAAAGGTGATCGTAGAGGGCTCGGGACTTACTCTTATCACAGCCTCTCATTTTTCAAGTGCTACTGGACTTGAGGATTTTTCACATGAAATCTGAATTTTAAATGTTGACCACGAATTTAACATCAGAGTCAACATAATGGGAGTCTAACAAAATATGTCTGCCATTAACACATATTGTTGGCCTCATTGTGAACTTCTGAGAGAAATCAAGCCTAGGGTTTCTCAAAGAAAGGTCTTCAGATCACTGGACTGCAATCTCCTACGATGGAATCATCACAGATGCTTCCTGGGTCCTGCCTCGGGTCTATTGAACCAGAAACTCTATGGATCCATGCAGAGCAGTGCTTTTAACAAGGAGTTTCTTATAGAATTTCCAATTTGAGAACCAAGGATATACTATAATTAAAAAAAACCCCTAGCTATATAATTATAATAAGAATGTCAAAGTATCAGAGAATCTTACTTTGTTAAAACCATCTTCTCAAAGATGGTTGCTTGCAGATTTTTCCCCTACAAGTTATATTTTCATAAACATTGCCATGTATGAAATTTTTTATAAACTGCTTTTCTTTTTCAGAATTATTTTTCCATTGCCATCGAGTTCATTACAACTCATAGTGACCCTATAGGACAGAGTAGAACTGTCCCTTTGAGTTTCTAAGGAAAGCCTAATTTGTCTCCTATTGAATAAGTGCTGAGTTTGAACCATTGATCTTGGGGTTAAGAGCTCGGTCCATAGCCCACTATGCCACCACGGTCGTATGAATAGCAGTGTTGATAATGGCACACAAGAGACTTTGTACAAATCTCTCTGCTACCTTTATCTTCTTCCTAGGAGATACCTTGTTCTCATATGCTTGCTTGTCTTCTTGTTTAGGAAGCTTTCTAAAAGCACTAGCTCGTTCACTGTCCTTCAGAATTCTGTATTTCCCGTTAGAAATTTTTCACCTGTCCATTTTCTTTGTCCACTTTTCTATTCATAAATGTATCTTTCCCATATCTATGTGATATAGTTCTGTGTATACTAGGCCATTAACAACTTGCCCTAGATATAATTTTAGTCTCAAAAAAATTTTTTTTAAAACACCATTTATATTATTTAATGATCCTCACCATTTTGAAAAAAAGTTTATTTGAATTTAATCACATTACCTATTTAAAATCAGCAGCACTATTTCGGTTTAAGTTTCCATATTTCTGTTGCTTTTGAATTTCACTTTTTAAATTTAATGACATGAAATTCAGTCAAATGCTATAATAAGGGATCTGCAGAAAATCCACCAATTAATATTATTTTACTTTATTAAATGACAGCAAAGGAGCTATAAAGTTTTAAATAGCTTTACGTGCATGTTAAAAACTTTCCAAACTCAAAAATGGACTCCCCAGCCCCTCCACCCTTCTTACATTTTGGGAAAAACCTTTCTCTCAAGAGGTCCTATTTCAAAACCCAAATGGGATTTCAAAATACAAGTAAATAAATGTCAAAGCCTGCTGGCCTCTATTCTGCCATTCTATGCCTGAAATCCTGCCAAAATGAAATTTTCCATTCAAGGAGGACTGGCATTACTAAGCTGATTTTTCAGAGATTCGTTTTCAAAAGTAGTGGAAACTTTGTGCAACTTTTGACGTCCCCCTCTGTAGAGAGAACAGCTGCCTCTGTAGACAGTTTCCACAATCGTAACATTTTCTGAAAAACAAAACCTGAGTTCTTCCAGTGTCTGCAGCCCCTGAGTCTGCTGGTTTCCCCAGTGCCCAGCACAGAAGATAAACAGCCGCTGACCTAAAAGCCAGTGTCTCCGAGCATCAAAGCTCGCGCACGCGCGCAAACTCACACACACACACACACACACACACCCCACCCCCACCCCCCAGCAAGAATGAGGACTGAAGAGAAAGTGGGAGAAAGAAAGAGAAAGTGGGAGAAAGAAAGCATCATGGTCAAACTGTTCACTTGGTCTGCATATTCACATTTTCAATTAAAGTCCTAAGATCAAATCGTTAACTGCTCTGACTTTATTTAAGTACTCCCAAAGAGAAAACAGAGAGCTGGGTCATTCCGAAGTAAAATTGGAGGATTAGTATGCAATTGGGCTGTGCAGCTGTAGGAGGGTCGGCTCGCAGGCCTGTGGATTACTAAGGAAATGTCTATCAAAACTGCCAGCAGGCAGGAACTTGTAATATTCCCAAACTTAAAAAAAATCGTGGGAGGAATCAAATGTAAAACTGAAATCAAACAGGACAAAAACAAACCTCTACATTGTGAAATGTTTCTACCTCTAAGAATAGTAACGACTTGATGAAGAAGCAAGCTCAGGCTCCCTCTATCCTGAATTCTCTTGCTTTACCTTGGGGAACGTTCCTTTTATGCAGGGCAGCAGGAACTGTCCCCTCCAGAACCTTCCTTTCGGACTGAATTTGCCCCCCTCCCACCTAGGCCATTGCTCTCAAAGCTCTCTCTCTGTCTTTTGCACCTCCCCCACCCCCTCCGCCCCAGTCAAACTTGGAGTAGGTGTTCTTGGAATTCCTGGTGGCACGGCGGTTAAGCGCTGGGCTGCTAAGGAGAGGCCTCTGGTTTGAACCCACCACCAGCCTTTCCCACCCTTCTTCCCTCCCTGCAGAGCAAGATGTGGCAGTCTGCTTCCGGAAAGATTTACTGCCCTGGAAACCCTGGGGGCAATTCTACAGTCTTCCAAAAGGCCGCTGAGATTCCGAATGGACTGAATGACAACGGGTTTTTGTTTAATTTTTAAAAATTATTTAGGATTTGATTCAGAGACGGGACAAACAGGAGGCAACGAGGTAGAAAGAAAAGTTTGGTGATTTGAGAAACTTAGGCCTTTGTTGTGACAGCCCCCCCACCTTCCACGCCCCCAACCACGTGATCAACAGAGGCCGGAATTTTGTGAATGGAACTGAAGGGTGGCTGCGGGGGCGTGCGAGCTCCGCCCTCTTCCCTTAGGCAGCCAATCCCGTCGTGGAGCGCTGCGGGGTCAGCACTACACAACAATGGGCTGGGAATATACGGTTTGTTATTGGCTGCGGAGCGGACCTCGCGGGGACCTAACCCCAAGCTCCTCCCTCTCCTGGTTACCGTGGATACGGGTTAGGCTCCGGCCCCAGTGCAGGGCTTTGGAAACTGTTGCTCACATTTTTGTGGGTGGGTTAGCCCGCGAGTGCTGGGCGGCGGAATACCCTTGCGACTGGCCTCCCTCTTGGGTGCGCTCACAATGCCCTAGAGCTTTACAAGCGTTTAACTTCAGGGCCCAGCTGCTCCCTGGACCCCTCTTTTGACGGGGTGAAAGTGCAGTTCCCGCTCAAAATGTGAGTAGGTGCACACGTTGTCCCAGGCTCCTCCCTTTTGCTCAAGTTTGAGAGCATGCACCGTGTGTTCCTGGTTATCTATAATTATTGGTTGCTTCCCCAGTAATGAGTGTTTTCTTCCTTGCTACCTTTTTTGCCTTGAAATAGCCTTTCCTTTCCTGGCTTCTCCATGGGTCCGAAATTGAGCCTGGCGTGTTCGCACACCATTTTAAAGCCTCGCCGTGACCACGTTCCATTCAACGAAGGAAACTTTCACGTAGAAAATGAGAACTGCAGCACGCCTCCCGGCCGGCGGAACAGCTGCCGGAAGCGTGCTTTGGTCACCAGCTCTGGTTGTCACCAGGATTACAAGTCAGTTGCAACACCGCTAAGCCCCCGGGGCCATCCCCGAGGCCTCCCGGCCCGGCAAGGGCCGTGACCGCACAGCTCCAAGCCCCTAAGGAGGGTCCCAGCTAGAGGCTCCAGAGCTGCCGCGCTCCCCGTTTAACGTCCTAGCCGTTGTCCTTGAAACCCGAGCCCCCTCACTGCACACCCCCAAGTCTGGGCTCGGGCTGTGTAAAAGCTCTAGAGGAAGTGAAAGCGTCAAGTACAGTAAGTGACACCCTCGCCTCCCTTGTATACATAACAAAAGCTCAGGAAACGTGCGGGTCCCCGGGATATCCGAGCCACCCCTTCTTCTCCCCGCCTCTCCCCACCTCCTCGGCGGGGCTGGAAGCACCGCTCTGCAGTTCGCACGTAGAGACCTAGGCGGTTTTCAGACCCGTCTTTTATTCGTCCGGATCGCTTTAGCCCCCCTTCTCCTAAAATCGAGTTTTAGTTGAGGATTGCTGTACCACCCACCCCAAAAAAAGTCTCGATAAGCCATGATGGTGGGGGCGGTAGAGGGTTGTTGGGAAAGAAAAAAAAAAAAAAGGAAAAAGACTTAGGTCAAAAGCTCAGTGGGAACGAGGCTGGAGATCTTGGGGTGGAGGTGCCTGAGGGCGTTATGGATCGCACTTCAGAATATAGACACCTGAACGGAAGAAAAGTCCCTTAGGGAAATCTGCCAAACAGTGAACCAAACACACTGGTTAGCGACAACTGGCGACCCGATCGCTACGCCTGGCAGCAGTTTAACAATAAACTGACGGTAGGAAGGGAGTCGCTGCCGCACGTCCCCGCCAGGCACCCGCTCCGGCCGAGGGCTGTGCGAGAGCCACGAGAAGGGGCTAGGAGCTGCCTGATTGACAGCCCGAAATCTGATCTGCTGAAAGAGACGCGGAGCCAATGGGAGGCAGCGAGCCATCAGTTTGGATAGGAGGCCCCTGGAGGAGAAGTAGAGGAAAAACCACCGAATTGAGCTCTGTCAGAGGCGCTTTCAGCTTCCAAGGGGGAAGTGCTGGGTAATAATTAATGTTTTTATTAAATTTGGAGGGGATTTTTTGCAGCCCTTCGCCTAGCGTGGCTTCCAGGTGGGTCTTTCCAACAACTTTTTTTGTCTCTCCAGATAATTGCATGGCTGTGGGTTGCAAAAACTCTCCTTACGAAAGAGGTGTCTCCGTCTCTTTAGTCCCGTTAGGTGCAAAGCAAGTCTCGTTGATCGCCATTGCTAGTTTTGCACACGTTTGCGAATCAGCGCTGCCGGGGTACACTGACCGCGCTGGGAAACGTCGAGAGTGTAAATAAATGCTTCGCCTCTTGTTCGGATTTTTGCTACTGCCGAAAATATGTAGATTGTGAACTCTCTTGGCTCTCTTTGGATCCAGGTGAAGGAGGCGGTGTAGGGAGGGTTATTTTTTGTGAATGGGACTGTCGAGGGTAATTAGCTATGCAAATTCAAGAGCTTCATTCATGATTTTTTTTTCCCCCAAGCCTAAAAGCCATCTTGTTCCCCTTTAGGTTGATAGAAGTCCAGATCCCGAGGAAATCTCCAGCTAAATGCTAAAAATATAAAATACTGAGCTGAGATTTGCGAAGAGCAGCAGAATGGATGGATTTTACGACCAGCAAGTGCCTTACATGGTCACCAATGTGAGTGATCTGTTCGAAAGTTGCTGTTTATAAACTTGACTCCAGCGGGGGTGGGGTGGGGTGGGGGAAGGAGGAAGGGAGGCGTAAGGGAGGGAGAAGATGCGAAGGGAGGGGGCAAGGGGGTTGGGATTGCAGATACTTTATCTGCTTTGTTGCCACTGTAGGGCGACTCTGCTTCTAGAAGCCCAATCTTCACAATGAGCTTACCTTTCAGTGATTTGGATAAGGCATAGTTTGTTTTTAAGACCCCTTTTTCCGATTAAAGTGTTCAAGATGAGTGGAAGCCGAGGAGGTGGAGGGCGGCAGCAGCTGCTGCCCTCAAAGTTTCTGGCTGGGTTTGTCTGTCACATTGAGAAGAATGAAGTTGAGACAAATGCTGACACTTTATGTTTACATAGGGTGTTTTTGTTTCTTTTTTTCTCATTTAAAAAAAATCTCTTCACTTTCTCCTAGCTGCCTTTTTGTATGTGTGTATGGGTATCTGAGAAACTACAATTCACTGTTTTAATCCAGCTTTGACTAAGCCTAAAAAAACCAACTTTCAGTGTAATTGCTTGGTGTTGTTTTGATGCTGGGATAACATGGATAAGATGATTGATAGAGTGTCAGGATCGGCTTAGGACAGCAACCCTCCCTTGGCTGTTAAGTCTCACAATAGGTTTTCACTGTCATGAATGCAGACGAAGAGTATTAGAATTGATACTGTAGAATTTATTTTTCTATGGAGAGGACCCAGTAGATTTTATGTTATTTATGCAAGTGGTTTTTGCTTGTGTGTGTGTGTGAGTGTGACATCCGAGGTTTATATTCTTTTAAAGGATTTTTGTCTTTCCCTTTTAGAGTCAGCGTGGGAGACATTGTAACGAGAAACCTACAAATGTCAGGAAAAGAAAATTCATTAACAGAGATCTGGCTCATGATTCAGAAGGTGAGGTCGGATTTTGCCCCTTCTTGGCCTATTCCTTCCACCTTTAGAAAGAAGAGGGATAGCTCAGTCTTATCTTAAAAATACTAAACTTTTAATTTGCTGAATTTAACCATGAGGTTTATTTGGAGCAATTTACGTAAGTGACAGACTGCTTTGGAGATTGTTTTGTGGTTGTGTCACAAAACTAATGAAAGAAGTAAGTCCATGAAAAGTGGCACCTTACTTTTAATCATTCTTTTCTGTTGAAATACACTTGTTCATATGACACATAACTGATGGCAGACACTAATAAGGTAAGGATTCTAGTTGATACACTGGGGCACACTAAGCAGCTATAGATACCAATTACTCTTTGCTCCCTAAACTCTATAGTTCAGTTTCCCTTCAAGTTTACGCTGAAATCGTAATGATTTCAGGGGGTGTCATAACACCGTTTCTAAGCCTTACACATGCTCACTGAATCAGAATGAAGGCCTAATTAGGAAGTATACTACTTCTTTGGACAGAAGGTTATAGATTCTTCTTATGAACTATTGGTAGGAGGTCAGTATATTATAACTTATTTTGGCCATATGAGACAATCATAATACATTTAGTGTGCTTAGATTTAGTTATCAAAGTTCAGTTTTCAACTGAGTTATGCTCAGTTCTGAAACTTACTAAAGTTCTTATACTTACTGAACATCTTCACTTCCTTTCATACCTTGCCAGCCCAAACTGGACAGAATATTTCATTTTGGACTTAGCAATTCACAGGTGTCAAGGGATCGTCTTTCTCTGATTTTAGAAATCTTTTCATGGAGAAAATTTCCTCAAAAAACTTGCATTTAAAAGTTTTTCCTTTGAGTGTTATGGTATTAAACCTGACAACATATGAGAGTTAGCTCACATAATGTTACACCATTTACTTATGATTCAAAAGATGTACCTAAAATGATTTTTGGCCTATGTAAATGTACTGTCTTAGTAATAGAATAGATTGAATAGATTTAAGATAGGTAAGCCCTCCAGGGATAGATACACCTTAACCTCAGCCTTTTGTGTGAATCCCACTGCACAAGTATGTGTTCGATGTCCTTAAGATTCTTTATTATTTGCTTAAAACAAGGGGGAGTCTATTTTGTAGTTTTGGGAATGTAAGAGCTCCTTAAAAATTCATGTCTTAAAAGTTATCAAAATATAAAGGATTATGGAGATATGAATCCTATTTTCTTTTATTATACTGCCACCCCCTTCCCCCATCACAAACACACAAGTTGAATTGATAGCCCATGCCAATGTGATAATGGTGAACATTTCTATTTAATGAACACTTAACAGCTTACAAATCTTATGTTCTCTTTTAATTTAATTTTTTTTTTTTTAGAACTCTTTCAAGATCTAAGTCAATTACAAGAAACATGGCTTGCAGAAGGTAAGGCAAAAAAAAATTTGCTTTAAAGGTCGGGGGAGCACTTCTAGAAGGGGGGCATCAGGAGAAAAAGTCCTGAACTTGCTGTCTTAATGTTCAGCCCAATTAATTGAGCTCTAAAAGAGCCACCTCATGTGTCATGCATACATTAGAGCCTCTGATGAGTTTGTCTTTGGGGACTCTGGGGCTGCACTACCCAGTGTCATCACAAATTACCAGGAGAAATTGCTTCCAGCTCACAATCACATCTGCTTTTGGCAAGAACTAATGCACCAAGACTTCAAGTTCTAAGCCTCTGTTCAGATTTTAATTGCAATTGATCAGGTTTATATTATTGTACCTCGAGAGACCTCCTAGCCAGAACCGGGCTTGCTGTCTCCTTCGGAGCAGCGCATATCATTATTTGGTGTTCTGGTGGCGGACTTCTCTGATGGCAGAAATTAGTTTCTCTGGGTTCATCAGGACGGGATGCTTCAAGATTTAAGTGCAAGTGTCTTCTTGCCACCTTGCTCACAACACAGAACATTAGGTGTGTATCGAATACTTAGAAAATGTATGCCTTTAAAATGGACCTTTGGGGGATTTGATGATTTTTAAAGAAATATTTTCTATTTGTGACTTTACATGTGGTGTTTGTTGAAATTGACCTTTGTTATTTTGTCACCGCTATTAGGATTTATCTTCTATAGCTAAGGGACATTTAAAGACATCACTTTGTGGGTTATTTCTTGATAAAATGTTGTGTTCAATCTATTATTCTTTCCTATGTGAAACTTCGTTTTGTAGGAACAATGAGGTATTGCTTCAGTAGAGCTTTATTGAACTTAAGAAATACCTGATGTTGAGAGGGATCATGCTGAAATTCAGAATTTGAATTTTTTCTTTTGCATTTGGTATAACGAATATTAAATTTCAGGTTTATCCCCTGATGTGCTTTGTAGCATGCAGGAAAAATATAGAGAGATATTTGAGCCCTGAGTATAATTATGTTATTCCTGTCTACACAATCTATGGAAAACATAGACTTTGTTGAGGATTTTTAAGATGTCAAGGAGGGAGAGGGTCTCTTTAAGTTGAACCCAAGAGTTGCTGTCGGCACTCTAAAGCTGACTGACTTGTTTTATTGGAGGGTTTTGCCGGCTGCTGATCAAGTTGCTGTTAGTATGTAAAATAAGTTTCTTTGTTTTGCTAATATTCCAGTTCTCCAAAGAGCTTTTATGAATCTTTTGAGTTAAATGTCTTTCTGGTAGTCCTTTGAAAGGGCAATTGTATTTGTGTGCTAATGAAAGGTAAGTATCTATGAAAGTTTTAGTTATATTTAAAGGTCATTTTTCCTGTCTCTGTAAATGAAAGTTATTGCAATGGATTACTTATTATTGCCACATAAGCCATACATTCAAATGTAACTTTTTCAAGAAAAAACTCCACAGAGGTTATCATGTTGATTTTTATCTATTGATCTTGTAGTGTTGCAATTGGTTAGGTCATTGCATTGATGAAGGAATTTATTCGTTTGTCTAAAATAATTTACAATGTGTATTTTAATTGTACTAGAAGATTTGTTGCTTCTTAAGATTTGAAAATCTCATTGATTCCAAATCAGTGCATCTGCTGACAGATTCTGAATGTGCATAACAACTCTCTTCCTGGAATTTAAAGATGTAGAATCCGTGACAGACTCTTAACATTTCATAGTACATTTCAGTGTGTTTTTTTTTTTTTGTTTTTTTTTTACTCTTGGCTTGTTTTATTTCTTGTAGCTTGAGTAAGTTGCTTGAAAAAGTTTCTCTCAAATTTCTATATTTTTATCCATCATTTCTTATCATACCTGTAAAATCAATCTGAAGATTTAGCTTTATATAAAATAAACTCAAGAAATGAATGATGTATTTGAGGAGCATGAACTTTTACTTAGAAAAGGATGCATTAGCTTAACAAGTCCAGGAATTAATAATCTTCAGAGTGCTTTGTTAAATGTCCAGGTGGCCTACTAGTTACCAACCTAAGGGTGATACTGCATTTGGAAGAATTTAAACATTTGTCAAAAGAGTTACATTTATCCAATCATGCTAAAGGCAAACTTGTTAATGTGATAGTTAATATAATAGGGAAAAGTTTCTTTTTCAATCATTTGTTGTAGACTACACATTTAATTTTATTTGAATAATTAGACAAAATTTGATTATTTTGCGTTACTATTTTTAACTGAATCTGGGTTAGAATAATAGCCTAGATGAAATCTCAAAAATACCCTACTTTTTTTGCACCTAAATTTGCCTATTTATGTGCTTCTGAACATCCAGAAATTCAAACAGTGCCAACTTGGCACCCTCTACATTGTTTACAGTTTTTTAATGACCTCTAGCCAAGAAAATGACCATGGGATTTTAAGGCATACTCACCCCTTTAAAAAAGATCTTTGGCAATTAATTAAGTTCCTCTCATGAGTTAGAGTCTCGGTGGCAAGCGAAATACGTGTAGAAATCTTATTAGCCATGAGTCAAGTTAGCAACAATGTGTTACATGAAAGTCATGCTTTGAAAAAGCACCTAACGTATCTAAATACCTGGGGTATGACATATCTTATTCTACTTACTCTGTTTTTATAATAATTTTTTTATGGCTGATCCAAAGCTTCATGTGGATTAGTCAGAGGGTAAATTAGCATGAATTATGAAATGTGAATTTATGAATTTACTTCTAAGAGGAAGTTGGGTTATATTAGGCAGCACTAGATGAGGGGTGAGGGGGATGGATCCAGTATTTTCAATGCACTAATATTATCTCTAGATACACTCCCATTCTTCTCAAAAAAATAATTCCTATACAGCCATCAAAACTGTCAGTAACTTCATATTAACATCACTTCCTGTATGTTAACACTACAATTTAAATAATCTTAACTAATAAGATATTTAAAAGAATTTAAATATAATAGATTTAAAAGAATTATATCTAAATCTGAATTTAAGAAAATTGAAAAGCTAGTGTTTTCACTGACTATAGAAGCCATTAAAAATAAACAAAACCAAAGAATGTCTTGTTTCTATTTATGCCAGAGTTACGTAACCTAATTTTACTATGTGCAATTCTATATTGATTACTTTATCTTTTGAATAAGATTACTAATGACAGAAAGGCATTTGTGATTATTTGACCCCACCTGATAATGAATTCAAATCTCATTCTTATCAACATACAGGTGACACCTTCCTCTTCCTCTTTAACACCCTATTATAGGTCGGGCTTTAAAGACCTGTGTCATAGAAATTCAAGGTTCAAATGGAATGACTCTTTTCTATAAATAGGACATAAATAGGTGGATGTAAACTAGAATTGAAAACTGATGGTATCCTTGAAAGCTTGCTTATGAAAGCTTAACTGCTAACACAATTTAAGGAAAAGACTAAATTTCAGTATATGTGTCACGTAAGAATACAGGTACTTGGAAGCTGAATTTTGAGGTGGTCTCGACCTGGGAGCTCTGTGGTGCTTGCTCCTCGGGAATGCTAGAGAATAAAAGCAGCTGTGATTGCTTTCCACCTGGTCAAACCTTTTACAACCGCCTTATGCTCCCCACTTGTCTCTGAGTCCAAGTTTTCGGTCTAAGAGTCACCTCGCTATCCGCCACGCAGATGCTTCCTTTCTTTCCTTGGTGCTCGGTGACTACCTGGAGTCAGGCTGCGTTCAGTGGAGCTATGTCATCATCATCTCAGTTCTCAGTTCACTCTGATGGTGAAGTCTAAGCTTGTATTCAAAGTCACTTTTTATGAAGATCCTTCAATAATATACGCTATGATTGTTTACTGTAAAGAATGTCATTCTTAATATTATTATAGTCATAATGTAATCAATTTCACCATATATTATCTAACATTGTACATTCTTTTTTTATGTTTATGGAACATAAAAAAGTGACATACATGTTCGTGAATGTGTTTTTGTTCTGTGGCATAAACCAACAACAACGAAGCTCTTAGTGTTATGTTATTTTATGTTGTTTACGTAAAAA